CCCAAACAAGCCCTGCTCTGGCTTCTGGCTCAAACCAAGACCCAGACTATGGGGGAGTCCTTAAGACTCCTTCAGTCCCTTTTCTACTGCTGCAAAGCCAGGCTGGGACCTGTCAGACACAGGAAGCAGCCGTCAACCACCCCCCCGCCCCCCAACCCTTTGCTGCCCCGTCTGGGGGAGCTGCAGCTTTAACTCATTAGCTAGCCAGACATCTCCCCACAGCCCCTCCTTCCCAGGAGTGCCCCTGAGGGGGAGGTAGTGGGGAGGGGGGACTAGGGCCAAAGCTCAGAACAGAGCCTGACTTCTGCCTGCATGGCATGGGGATCCTGGCCGGCCCCGGAGCTGAGTTAAAGGGCACTGAGCTCCCTGCCACCATGGATGTGGGGTCTGCAGCCCTGTGGGGATGTGCGTTCGTGTCACAGGTGTGAGTGTGCTGGGGCCTGGGCATCCCTGGCCCTGTGGCGTGTGGGTGTGGAGGGAGCATGCTTGCACATCTGTGTACCAGATGAGCGTGCAGGGCTCTTCTTCAATGTGGGCTCTCATGAGTGTGCATGTGAGTACACGAGTGGGTGTTCCTGGGCTTGTGTGCATGTGTTCTTTCAACTGCAGGGCTATGAATGGCCCTGGCTGTGTGCCAAGGCTCTATGTAGTTGGTATTTCCTTGGGGTGCAGAAGAGGGGGTAGAGAGAATGTCCTCACCAGGGGAGAGGGGAGAGGTCATGGGCCAGCGCTGGCCCTTTGCTGAGTAGCTCTGGGGTCCCTCAGGGCACAGCTGCACAGAGCCCCTTTGTGAGGGGCCCCGCCTCTAGTTAGCACACAAGCTGCCTTTGTCCATGGTGGATGTGGAGGGGGGACCTCCCCAACTCGCCTCTAGTCTTGTCTCTGTTTGACCCCACTATATTTTCTGGGGGGTTGGCAGGGCCTCCTGTCCTGGTTCCTGTCTGCCTGCCACCCAGTGGTCACTGTGCCCCTTGCCCACGTGTGCCCATGAGTAGTCCAAGGCCCTGAAAGCACAGCACAAGGGGACAGGATGAACCTACCCCCCTCCAAGCTCCAAGCCTTGCATTTGAGGAATAAGCTGCTTTATCGGAGACTTCAGCGGCCCTGCTCCTGCTTCCTCAGGAAGCACCGCCCCCCACCCCCCACACACAACCTGCCTGTGTGATGGATCGCTTGTTTCCCTGTGTGGGGGCCCCATAGCCCCATTTCCTGTGCTGGCCCTAGCATGGGCGGGGAGGGTGTCGAGACTCTGGGCCAAGATCCCACCTTCCACCCCCACTCCCTGGCTTCTGCTTCCTGCCTCTAGTCCAGCTCCTCCACTAGGAAAGGGGCCATCAGCTGCTGGTAACTGGGGTAGGGGAGGCTGTGTGAGGGAAGCTTCTGACTTCTCTCCACCATCACCCCCCAGTTCAATCGCCTGACGTGGACCTGTTGGGACAGACTGAAGGTGCCTGCTGGGCAGCCCGAGAGGACCCTGAAGTCACTCCTGGACCACCTTGAGGTGTGCCCTGTTCCTCCCCACTCCCAAGCCTGGCCCAAACTGGTCCAGCTGGCACCTGACCTGTCTCTCTCTAGGAACAACATGGACTGAAGGTGAATATGCTGCTGCAAGGGAAGGCCGTGCTCTACTCAGTGAGATGGTCGCCTGAAAAGCAGGCCCAGTACCTGCCCCTTAGGTGAGCCCACACCCGGCCTTAGCCAAGTCTTGTTCTGTCCCTGGAGGTTGGAAGTGAGGGACGTGAAGCCCTTCCTCTTCCCAACCCCATTTGGTCCCCTCGCACCCTGAAGCTTTCTTTTGCCAAATGGAGCCAGCAAATGGGTTGGGGGTGGGGCAAGGAGGGGCCTCCGGGAGCTGCCTGCTTGGCTAGCCCCCACCAGCTTCTCCACACCCTGCTCAGCCCCCTTTCATAGCCCACTCCCAGGGGACTAGCAATTTCCTGCCTCCTGCCTGCCCTACCAGCCCCAGCCGCTCTGAAAATAGTTTCAGATGTTTCCTGTCTTGAGCTGCTCCTGCTCCTGGCTCAGGCTCCTTATGGCCCAGCGGCACCCTCTAGTCCATGCCAGGCTACTCTCTTCCTGCCACCGCTCATCGACCAAATCTCCCCCGAATCTCCCCCCAACACACACCAGGGTGACAGAACTGGTGCGGCAGGTGACAGGCCAGGTGCCTGAGCCAGAGCAGCAGGTGCTGGTACTGGAGCTCAGCTGTGAGGGTGAGGACGAAGACACTACCTTTCCACCCCTGCACTACGAGCTGTGCAAGGAAGCAGCCCCACTGCACAGCAATATCGAGCCCTGAATCCTGTGACCACAGTAGATCCTCAATAAATGCTTGTTGAAGGAAAGAGTAAGTGGAGAGGGGGATGGACGAACGGCAGTAATGCACACGGGGTGTGACAAGGGCACACAGGGACCCCTGGAGGGAGGGAAAGTCTCTTTAGATTCGCCTGCCTGGGCTGTGCCTCAAAGGGCTCGGGGCTGCCTCCTGGAGACTCAGGCATATGGAACCAGGACAGTCCAGAGAAGGGCCTTTATTGTCCCAGGCTGGAGGGCAGGGTCAGAGGTAGCTGACAACATCATTGCAGATGATGGGCTGGCGGCTGCGGCAGCTCATGAGAGCTGCAAAGCGTGAGATGTCTGCAGGCAGTTCAGGTTCCGGGCGAGGTGGGCATGACAGTCGCTTTCCTGCCATGGCCGCCCGGCGGGCCCTGGCCAGCTGGCGCCGCAGCTGCTCAGAGAGACCAAGCAGGAACTGGGGGGGCCGAGCACGGGCACGGGGCCCACCTCCACCGTCCCCCTCACCTGCTGCCTCGGGCAGCTCCATCCAGTTGTGCACCAAGTCAGCAAAACAGTTGTCCCCCAGCACCAGGGGCTGGCGACTGCGACCTCTGCTCAGCAGGGCTGCTGTCCAGTCCTCGGCTTCCAGCTCCTGCCAGTGCTCCAGGCAGGCATCTGGGGTGGACTTGGGCCGCGGTCGGTGGGCAGGTGGTACACTGGCTACAGGGACCCCACTGGACAGGGGGATGCTGCTAGCTGAGAGGCGCTGTCTATGGGGGCGCCATGCTGGGGGTGCTGGATGCTGGAGGACGGGGAGCTCTTCCTCTCTCCACGTGCTGCCAGACACCTCAGAGAAGCCAGAGTCCCAATCCAGGGTATGCTCCCTAGGGCCCCCCGAGCCTACACCCCTGTCTCCTATCACTACACCTTCTTCCTCCTCTTCCTCCACACAGCAGACTGAGTCCTCATCCAAGACATCTGAGGCCCTGAGCCGGTGGCTGAGCCGGACACTTGAGCCAGGTTTAGGGGGTGGCGGAAGGGGGCCAGGCATGGGAGGTGAGCCTGTGTCCCGGCCACACAGCTGCAGAGAAAGAGAGAACAGAAGTTGGAGGGGCAGTGCTTGTCATCCCTGCTTTCTGGGGGGCCAGTCTCAGAACAGAAGGCCCAGAAGAGCCGGACAGGCCTGCAGACCTAGGCAGCAAGGCCTCTAGTGGGTACAGGGCATGGGGGTGCTGGCACACGAAGCTCGTGTGGTTCCCATAAGTCGACCTGGTGGCAGTCCGGCAGGCTTCAGCACGCAGAGCCGGGCAAGTCAGCACCCGCCACCAGGGCGGGAGGCAGGGTTGCGGGCCTGCATCGGGAAGTAGGTCCTGCTCAGGGCTGGGGTGGGGGAGCATCCGTGCCTCTTGAGGAATTCAGCTCCTCAAAGCCCACAACGTCTTTCAGAGAAGACAGGGCACTTGTCAGGTGGGAGTAGAGGAAGAAAGTACGGGCCAGCCTGGGATAGGGGGCAACCAAAGCAGCGCAAGCAGCTCTTTAGTCTCCTGCAGCGACTGCTCCACCCCAAAAGAAGTTTACCCCCCTCAGCTCCTTACACCGCCCCAGCGGCACAGCCAGCTGGGCTGCTGTTACTTGATGCCCAGAGCAACTCTCAACCGTCCGAAACCCGACGCGGGCCATCTGGGCCATCTGGGCCGCCCCGCCCCCATCCCGCCTTGGATGTGCACTCGGGACGGCCCCCAACCCGTGTGTCGTTCGGGCGGGACGGAACCCTAGCACCCCCACACACGTCCTGACGAATCACACCCGCTCCCAAGCCTCACCAGTTCCCAGCGGAGCTGGCCCAGGAAGCTGTCAAGCCGAGTGCTGTGCATGCCCGTGCCAGAGCCCTCGCCAGGCCTGCCAGTTCCTCTGCGAACTCCAGCGGGAGCGGTGCGGAGGGGGCCGGGCGGGCCGGCGAGCGGCGCCCTCACCCTCTATCTTGTCCCGCGGCTCCTCGCTCTCCGTAGCTCCCGCCGCAGCCACCACCCCAACATCTGGCAGCCGCGCCCCGCCCCTGACGCCGCAGCCAATGGGGCCGGGGCGGAGCTGAAGTGGCCCCGCCCCCGGGCGCGCGCGGATGATCCCCACGCCCACTCCCCCTCTCAGCTCCAGCTCTATGAGGAGGGGCGGGACTGCCGCTGCTGAAAGCCGGGCGCGGTCCGGCCCGGGACTTCCCGACGCCCCGGGCGTTTGAGTTGACTCCGGGTTCGCTGCGCGACCCAGAAGAAGTCGCTTTCCCGCTGTAGCCTCAGCTTCCCCATTTTTCCCTGGATAGGACTGTGGTCCCTCCCGCAAAAGCCCGGTGGGCACGCGGGCTCCCCGGCTGCGCCCATGTACCGGCAGAGCGCCCCCAGTCCTCGGGCTCCTCAGTGCTGTGGCCCACTTCGGGCCCAACCCCCTGGATCCGCTCCTGGAGCGGGCCTTGACAATCCCTGGAAGTGATGGGAGGGTCCTGCCTCCTCTGAGGACTCCCGGAGCGCGGGACGTCGCAGGAGCTTAGAGGAGGGGCCTCAGCCAAGGCCCAGCCCACGCCTCTCCGCCCCGCGTCTGGCCCAAGCTAGGCCCCGCCGCCCTCTAGTGGGGAGCGCGCGGTTAGCCGCATTTCCTGAAGTGACATCCGCATCCCCTCGGCCCAGCATCACGTGCAGACTGAGGGTGAATGCAGGGGCTTAGGGCGGCCCTCTCTGGCGGGAATGGTCAGAGCCTGTTCCCAGAGGTCCTCCATGATTTCAGGCTCGTTTCAAGGATACTGTCTAACTGGAGACAGATGAGTCAGTAGACAGAAAAATGCTGGGGAATGAGGGCGACGGGCTGATTTGGGAGAGACGACTCTCAGAGGAGATGGCATTCTGTTTGGATGAGCCTTCATGGGGAGATCAAGAAGAGGGGCATTCTAGGCAGAAGGATAAGCCAGTTAAAGGTCCTGAGAGGACAGGAACTGGACAGGGCATAACATAAAGAAGGCCTAAGGGGTTTATGATGTTGGTAGTTGCAGTAGTGAAGAGGTCAGCAAAACCAGGCGCCTAGCAGCTTCAGAAAGGAATATGGGGTTTTGTTCTTGATGTGATGGGGAGCACTGAGGGCTTTTGAGCAGGAAGTGACCTGGGCTGGCTCCTGTTTAGATAATCTCAGCTGCTGTTTGTAATCAGAATGGAGGCTCCTGCCCTCATCCAGCAAGGGAGGGGCTGGTCTGGGCTGTGATGGGGCTGGTGCACAGAAGGGGGTCACTTTGGTGTATGTTTTGGAGCTAAAATCAAACCTTGCTGATGCATGAATATGGGTAGGAAAAGAGGGCATCAGACATGACTCCCAGATCTGGCTTGAACTTCTGGTTGGATGGGATTGTCATGAATTGATCCAGGAAAGACTGGAGAAGAGTGGGTTTGGGGAGGAAAATCAAATGATCCTTTGTGAACGCGTGACCCTTGAGATGCCTATTAGACATCGGAGAAGAGATGCGGGGTCAGCCACTGGATGTGTGACTAGACTTGGGGAGAGAGATCAGCACTGAAGTCTTGGATCTGGGAGACAGAAGGACTGGATGTTACCTAAGGCCATCCATCTCTTAGACAGAGAGCAGCAGTCAGGACTAAGCCATGGAACACCCCACTGGGTGGAGGTAGGGAAGCAGAACCAGCAAAGGAGCTATGCGGGAACCGCCTGGGAGGTGAGAAGAAATAGAGTATGGGCACTTAAGGAGCCACAGGGAGCAAGCATCAAATGCTGCCAGGGAATTGAGAGTGGAGAATAAACTGCTGAATTCAGTAGTACACAAATCTCTGGAGACTCTGACAAGGGCAGTTTCATGGAAAGAAGGACAAGCTTGATGGTAGTGAGTAGGAGAGTGAGAGATAAAGAACTGGAGAGAGCAAATATAGACAACTTTTTAAAAATTGGACATATATATGTGTATATATATATATGTGTGTGTATACACACACACACACACACACACAATGAATAGACAACTCTCAAAAGTACGGCTTAATAAATGTTGTCTGTAGACACTTGTGCAACTGTCACCCAGATCAAAATAAATGATATCCCTAGCCACTCCAGGAGGCCACTTTGTGCCCCATCCAATTGATATCCCATAACTACTATTTGATTTCTATCAACAAGGATTTTATTGAGGTTGGGCTTAGTGTAGACAGATAATGTTCTAATGGGGGGTGGGTAGCTGGAGTTCAGACTCTGTGGGGTAGCAGGTCCTGGGCCCAATATTCTTGGGTACTGTCTTGTTCTGTCTCCAAAGACTTCCCTGAACCTGTTTCCCCAACTGAAGCTGATACTTCTCCCCTCACACCCGCTTTTGGTTGTGGTAACGAATGGGGGAAATCTCTGAGAGCCCTGAAAAAATAGGGTTCTCTAGGCCTCTGGATGCCTGTCTGGAGTCTAGAGCTCAGTCACCAGGGATGGGTGGGGCTGCAGTCTGGGAGGCCCGGAAGTCCTGCCTACCCAGTGTGTTTGAGCAACTGACCTGGCAACAGGGTGGGCCTGACAAACACCTCTGTCCTTCCAAAGTCTCCTCTGCTGTCTGTATCTTTAGGACACAATGGTGCTACTCAGACCCTTGGCACTTCTTCTTGCTCTGGTTGTCTCTGGTGAGGAGCTGGTGGGTTGGGGGAACCCCAGTTCTCATCTCCCTGTTCCGCCGCGGAGCAGAGTCCTGACCCTTTTCAGATGGTCCATCATGGACGGCAGGGGCTGGAGGAAAGCCAGGAAAGGGCTCTGAACCCCTGACCCTCATTCTTACCTTGGCTACTTCCTCGACCAAATCCTCACTTCCAATCTATGAAATGAGCTGACCCATGGGTGGATGTGGGGCACAAGGAAGGGCTCTGGCTGTTTGGTCCCAAGGTTTGGCCAGGCCCTGTGGCAGAAGGGCAGGACTATGCTCAAGTCTGTGGTTCCATGAGCATGGGGGCCTCCAGCCTGATCATCTCTTCCTCACAGTTGTCCACGACCTGCCCTGGATCATAAATGTCTCCGAGAGCCAGGGACCTGGCACCATCCTCTACTTGAACTGTACTTCTCACATGCCCTCCCTGAAGTTGCTCAGTGTGCAGCCACCCACCACCTTCTTCAACCCACCCAGCTTGACCAGGTGGCAGGGGATCTATGTGGGAAAGGTAGGGTCATGGGCACAACTGGGAACCATAGGGAAACAAGAGCAGACCCTAAATTCATAAAACCAGAGGTGGTGGGAGGGAGAGTCTAGGCCCCACATGGCACTGCCTACCTGCCACAGGTGACCTTAAGCAGTTCAGCCCGGCTGGATGCCCTGGCAGTGAACCGCTATGAGCTGCAGCTGCAGTACACATGTGGCAACAACGTGTCGGAGGGATCACTCTTTGTGGATGTGCAGCAGGACCCTGGCCATATCCAGTGTGCTGGCCCATTCGCCAGCCCAGGTGAGGCCAGCAGCAGCAGGCAAGGGGTGGGCAGGCATGGCCTGAACAGAGCTTCCCTAACTTCCCCTCTGGCCAGCTGGGGAAATCATTCAGGTGCCGGAAACAATCACACCTGGGGCCAGGCTATACACTCTGCTGTTCCCAGGCCTGGAACTCCAGGGAGCCCAGGTAAGACCAGCACACGGGCAGTAGGGGGAGTAAAATGGGAGGGTGGGCATGGGGAGACCAAGCCCAGCCCCTGCTTGGCCAAGCAGAGAACTTCAGAGAAACCCTTTAGCTGAGCCTCTGCATGATACATGCTCTTGGAGAGAGCCACTGAGGGCCCCCACCCCACTAGTGACCATGGCTATTCCTACAGGAACCTCTCAGGGGCTGAGTTCTTTCAAGTGTATCGCTTTTGTAATCCAAAAAGGAAATGTAGTTTAAAAACAAAATAAATGGTTTAAAAGCAGAAAGGATTGAGGATTGGGGTCTGGGGTCCCAGGTTAGGGTAAATGTCAGTGGTGGGGTTTCATAGAATTGGGTGTGGGCAGGTACCTGCTGGATTGTTGGGGACTTTGGCAGGGATGCTTTGGGTACTGGGGGCTGGGGACTGAGCATCCAGCATCTCTGTCCTGTCAGATGAACATCACCAGTGCCCAGGACCCTCCATATTTTCCCGGACCTTTCTCCATCAATGGGCAAGGTTGGCTGCGGGCACCACCTCAGGGCCTCAAAGGCCAGGCTCAAAAGGTGAGCATGACTTGGGACCTGGGGATATATCCATGGATGAGGCATACAATGGGCAGAGCCACCACCCTCTGGAAATTTGCTTGTTCTTGGCCTCCTTGGCCTCCTCCATTAGGCTGCTTCTCCCAGACACTGCCCATACCTGTACTTGCTGCCCCATGCTGGCTGTCCTCCCACCTTGGCCTGGTTCTATGTTGGGCTCTGGAGTTCCAGAAAAAAAGTGGGATCCCTGGCTCACGATGTCTTGAATAGAAATGAGAGTGTTCAGAGAAGACGGACAGGAGAGTTCTGGGCGAGGTGGCGAGTGCAGGTTAGAGAAGTTCCTTCTTTAAAACTTCTACAACTTAGTAACTGGCTCTTAGCAACTCTAAGATGATAAGGCATAACGTGAATGACTCAGATATCACTCTCTTGGGGGCTGTTTGTATCCTAATAGATGGATTTATGGCTCATAAGAATGGGACTCAAAAGATATACCTGTTAGCAGGTGACAGGTCTGTGGAAGAGTGAGCGTTTGGGCTCCTTGTGGAGGTCATCTGGGGGCTGCTTATTTGATGAGAAGTCTGGGCACAGACATACAGATAGATGTACACTGTGGTTCCCTTCCTATTCTGTGTCACTGCAGGTCTTCCAGCTTCAGATCCTGGTGACCTTTGGCCCAGGCCGAAGCTGCAGTGGGACGCTGGTGGTGAAAGTTTTGCCTGCTCCCTCCAGCCAAGTCTCCTTCTTGTAAGGCTCCCCTACCCTGGGACTGTGAGGGCGCAGGGCCTGGCCTCGGGGAAGTGGGAGTAGGTCACAGTGGGGCTGCAGGAATGTCCCAGCTCCCTGCGGTTTGTGGGAGGTTCCAGGGGAGGAGCCTGAGGACCAGGTGGCAAGGGCAGGAAATAAAGCCCCCTTTTTGTCCAGGAAGCAGGATCAGAATATCACCATCCCCGAGGACTTCGTCCCCGGGAGTGAGGTGGTTCGGGTCCAGGCCCAGGGCCTCAACGTGCGCTACGAAATCCTGTCTCCCGTACCCTGCACGCTCTTCTCCATCGGACGCGGTGAGGGGCGTGGAGTGGGGTATGGGAATGCCTCTGCGGCTTGTCCAGAGGTGACCCGCACTACCGCCTTACCCTCGCGAGAAACGAGGCTGGAGCTGAGGCAGAAACTGGGGCAAGGTCGCGTTTGGGGACATGGCCGGAGCTACAGACGAGCTTTGGAGGAGGCAATGCCGGGTGCCAGGCTCAGCGCCCTAACCCGTCAGTGAGAGGGTGGGAACCGGGTTGAGCTGGTGGCGGGGCCAAACTCTGCGTCCCCTCCACCCCAACCCTCCCACCTGGCCCAGCGGACGGCGTGATCCGGACCACTGCGCCTCTGGAGTTGGCGCGGGCCCCAGGAGCAGCAGTCACTGTGCTGCAGGTGAAGGCCTTCGAGCGGCTCCAGCCGTGGGCCAGCGTTGAGCTCAATCTCACCGTGAACGTGCGTCCGGTCAACCGCTGGCCTCCACGCTGCCTCCCAGCACTCCTAGTGTGAGTACACCCGAGCCTTACCTAGGCCACCGGGTCTCCAGCCACGGCTCACCGCCAAGCCCCGACTCCCGCCCTGCCGCCTGCCCTCTGCTCCCAGAACTCAAATCCCCGAAACTGCACCTGTGGGCACCGTGCTGAGCATCTTCACTTGCACTGACTTGGACTCTCCTGGCTCCACCATGGACTATCAGCTGCGGTTCCACGGCCCTCCTGGCCCCACCAGCCTCTGCCTTATCGACAGGGTCCTGAAGGTGCCCCGTGCCACAATTCCCAGACCCACTGGAAGGGTGCTTGGGCCGGCGAGGTGGGGTAGGGGGAGGGAGGTGGCAATGGTCTGTGGGAGCCGAGACCACGGGGTGAAGGAGATGGTGGTAGAGCCTACCTGCTTTGCAATATGGAGAACTGGGGGTCAGGATAGGCCATCGGTAGATGCGCTTGCCTGAGGCAGCCCAGAGTGGCTCAAGGCTCTCCCAGGCAGTGGCTGAGCCTCACATTCTGGCCCCTCTGGCCAGGTGAATGCCACACTGGACTGTGACACTCCTGGGGCCTGCTTTCAGCACACAGCCTCCATCCTGGTGTTCGATGGTGGTCAGCCCCTGATGTCCAGTGAGTGACCATATCCAGGCTCGGGTATTCAGTACCCCTGTCCCCATCCTCAGGACAGCTCTCCTCCCTCTGAAACTGGTAGGACAGTTTCAAATGTCCATTTCAAATGTCTAGCGTGGGGCACATCTCTCCTCTCCCAGATGCCCCCAGTACGGGAGAGATATTGCCCTCCTTCCCTCCAGACTGTCTTTCTCCTTAGACCGCCCAGGGCAGAGACGAATCTCCCTCCTCAGAACCCCAGGGCAGGGGTGGGCACCCCAGGCCAGCTCCTTGACTGCCTAACAACTTCCAGCTGAGGTGCCAGTACTGGTGATTGTGACACCTGTCAATGAGTTCTCTCCGGCCTGCGTCACACGCACATTCCGGGTTCGGGAGGATGCAGGGCCCCGCACTCTGCTGGGCTCTGTGGTGGGCACGGACATGGATTACCCACATGACAGCATTGAATACCATACCTCTGGCGGGTCTGCCATCTTCGCTGTGGACCGTCTCAGCGGTATTTCCCCCCCAGGGCTGGAATGGAGGGGTAGAGTCAGAGTTGACTCTGCAGGCTGAGGCTGTGCCCTCCCCCCCTTCTAGGGGAGGTTCGCCTCCTGGGGCCTTTGGACTATGAGCAGCAGAGGATGTACAGGCTCATTGTCCTGGTGACTGACCATAGCCAAGACCAGGACCCCACCTACCACCGCTCTGGATCCTGCACTATTACCATTGAGATTGAGGTAATTGAGCTCCAAGGCCTTGAAAGAATTAAAGAGAGTTCAAACCTCACTCTGCCATTCTGATTTTCCACTCTGTGCCTCAGTTTCCTCCACTGGTTGGCTGGATGGGGGCGGGGCCTCGTGTGGAAAGCTTCGGAGCCTATTGCCTGAGAGCTAAGGTCTAGGGAGGAGGCTGAAGGGCTGGCCCAGGGATTCGAGAAGTGGGTGACCTGGCTATGTTCCTGCAGGATGTGAATGACCATGCTCCCGAGTGTGAGCCTCCGTTTCAAGAACTCACCGTCCGCACTTCCCTGGGCCATAGCCTGGAGGTGACCAAGGTGTCATGTCGGATCCCTCAGGAGCCACAGCGCCTGGCCTTCTCCTACAGCATCGTGGGAGGTGAAGACCATGAGTGTCACCAGGCTGTGGGAGAGGCATGGGCAAAGCCAGCAGTGCTCCCCTTCTTTTGCCACTCTGCTTTCAGGGAATAGTCAGAGCCAATTCAGCCTGCGAGGAGCCGTCCTGGTGCACGACAACCTCAAATTGGGGGCCCCCTGGCCAGAACAGCCCCATACTTATGAGCTATTGATCCGTGTGGCTGATGCAGGTCCCTCCATCCCCCACCTCAGCACCACAGCTACCGTCATTGTGCATCTAGTTCCTTGGAGGGCCAGCACAGTGGCCACCAGCACCCACAGAGCCACAGTGAGGGGGGTCCTTGGGCCCTTGTGGGGTAGGGAGAGAGGACCTTGGAGGGTGAAGAGCCCCAGTTTTCCAGGTGGATGATGGGGAAGGCATTTCAGAGGGGAGCGTTGAGTGCAAAGAGCAATATGGGAGAGCAAATCTGGGGGATGGGGTGGCCCAGCTCTTGGAGGAGTTTAGAAGATCAAAGCATTTGGCAGGGCAGCGGTGAGGCTGTGACCTCATTTCAGGTGCCTTCAGTGATGATGCCCCTGCTTGTGACAGACACAGAGGCTTTCTGGCAGCCGGAGCCCTGGTTCGTGGTGGTGCTGACAGTGACCGGTGCCCTCCTCCTGTTGGCCCTGGGCTGGCCTCTCAGCAGACTCCTCCAGGGGTAGGGTTTCTATTCCTGTGCTTCCTGCCTCTCCCCAGCCCACTAACGGACCCCATCTGTGAGAAGTGATTTCAGCCAAGGTTTGATAACAATGCCCATGGCGATGGGCAAACAAACCAATATTAAGGAAGGCTGTTCTCCCTCCAGAGGTCGTGACATTAGAGGCAGAGAGACAATGGAAGAAGGAAGCTGTCTCCATCGTTGTCAGAGCCTAGTCTTGGAATGGGATGGGTGTGGATGAGGGCTGGAGACTCTGAGTGTGTCATGCGTTGGGCATTTACCCTATTCTTTTTTTTTTTTTTAACGCCTACAGCACCTGGTATTCTTAGGTGGTCTCCCATCCAAGTACTAAACAGGCCCAACCCTGCTTAGCTTCTGAGATCAGACAAGATCGGGCATGTTCAAGGTGGCATGGCCGTAGATCATTTACTCTATTCTTGACCCCCAATTGCCACTTGAAACCTGATCTGCCCCTAAGACTGAATTTCTTGTGGGCACAGGACTGAACGCAGAAGAAGTGGGGGGTAACAATATGGACACTGCATACAGACTTTGGCTATCCCCAGTATAAAGGGGTAAATGAATCGTGCTGGTTACTGGAGCCAGCAAGTCTGCTGCCCTCACGCTTGGTTCCCCCTCCCGGCATTTTAGGTTGACCCAGGTGCTACGGGCACCAAGCAAACCAGCTCAGGCTCTGCTGCTAAACAGGTCAGCCTTCTTTGCATACCTCCATGTCTGGACCATTACTTAAACTCAGGCTGGGGCCCAGAGCCTTATCCTGTACTCCTGCTCCTACTTTGTCTCAGTATCCAAGGAGCTGAAGGGTCTGCTGAGGGGTTCATGGAGGCACCGATGATGGAGACACCCCAGGCATCCATGAGCCTGGTATGTCAACCCACCATCCTGTGTAGTGGGGACACTAAGGCTGCTCTAGAATACTCCCCTGCCCAGCCTGCCCACTTCCTTATGGATGGCTCCCCCTGTGGGAGCTCATGCCAGCACCAACAGGATGGAGGAGGCAAGTGGGCTCCTGATCCCTTTGGGAGCAGGCCTCCACCTGCTCCCTGTGGATGGGGTTCAACTCATTGTACCCTCTCATTCTTCCCCTCAGCAGCATTTCGATGGCAGAGCACAGGACTCCTGTGAGTTTCCCTATCCCCAATACATTCACCACCTTGGCCCACCTTCTCTCTTTAATCCATCTCAGTATCTCCTCCTACCACCAGGCATCTACTGTCTACTCTTTCTGTGAAGGAGATCTGTTCTCACCCCCACTCACCTTTCAGCCAAATGTTTGTCAGACACCTGTAGGACCAAGTGATGACTCAGAGCTGGTCTGGTTCCTGCCCATAGGGGAAGGGAGAAAGGTAGTGAGGGGAGAGACCCCCAGATATTCCATTTGCATCAGTGAATTAGAGCAGAGCAATCTGGCACTGGGCTTAGGGGAACTGGTGTCCAGCTTTGGGGAATCAAAGATGCTTCTTGTGCATTTGAACCAGACCTCAAAGGAGATGCTGAGAAAGGGGACAGGTTGGATCAAGCAGAAAGTGGGGGTCATCACACCAAGGGTCCTGGGACATCTTCTCCTACCCTTAGGGGCAGGAGGCAGTTCTGCTGAGGCCAGCAGTGCTACCTCTCTTTCCTAACCATCTGAGCACAGGTACAGGCAGAGATTACCTGTTCAACTCACACACGGGAGCCCGGCGCTGGCTCTGAGGCCAAGAAGCTGCTTCACTACGTGAGAATTTCTTCTTCACATGATCATGGGCTGTGTTTTCAAGTTGATTCAATAATAAACAAAATTAAAAGCAGAAAGTCCCAGCCTTGTAACCCACATGTGGGAGAAGCTCTGAGATCTGTGCTTCCTTGTTCTCACTTGGAAAACTCCCTACTTTGTGGGAACACTCTAGGGAGTAGCAAGGTTACTTTTAAGAAGGCACTGTACCGTGCTCTGATTGACAGAGGTTAATGCTCTGCAGAAGTAAGAGGCTGTTAGTCCTGTCAGTGACTGAGGGGGTCTGTCACCTCAGAGGCCACCTGCTCTAGCAGGTGGAAAAGGCCCAAGAGGAATTGTTCATTTGAGGGCCCCACCAACCTCCGGGGCAGTCTGTGGACTGTGTGTGGAGGTTTTCTTGGGAAGGATCTGGAGATTTTGCACTGAGGTGTGGGTTGGTGCAGACCTGGCATGGGCAGCCATGGAGGGATTGATGGGAACCCTCTTCTGAGGGGCTGTTCCCATTTCTTCTTGATGTGTTTCTTTTGGTTCCTTGGCCCTCAGCCCTCTCTGTGCTGAGCTGAGCTGTTGCACACAGCCAGGTGGCCTGCAGTAACCTGCAGAAGATGCAATGCTAGCCTACTTCCTGTGCCCAGCTTGGCATCAGGTACCAAGATGCTGCCAGTTTTCCAAGAGTACCTGCTGTCTGGTGGAGCTACCTTTACTGTGATATCTCCAAGTCTGTGGACCTGAATCCTTTTGGGTCACTGGAAGCCAGTTATGATATCCCAAGTGGGGAAAAAAGCTGAGTGCTTTCTGTGGGAAAGATGCATTTCACAGTGCTCCCAGTCAAGTGAGGGTTTTGAGCTGCCCTCAGGGACAGAGATGTGAGAGCAGGCTGTTATTGGAAATGGTTGCAGGCAGACTTCTTCTGAGCACTTACTCTCCTCTAAGGGCTAATTAAATCTTCATCTCTCAAGAGCCTGTTATCCTCATTTTATAGATGAGTCAACCAAGGCTCAAAAGTCATGGAGCTAGCTATTTGCAGCACTTGATGTGTGTCTAGACTGTGTGACTGCATCTGGGTTCCTAACCCTGAAGCCACGCCCAGGGTTAGGTGCTCTGTATGCGGGACCAGTCCACCCAGGATTCACAGTTGGCCTCGGAGGCAGAGCATGACAGGTTAGGGCTGTCATAGAGACTCAAGACAAGATGCTCTAGGTGCGGGACCAGTCCACCCAGGATTCACAGTTGGCCTTGGAGGCAGAGCATGACAGGTTAGGGCAAAATATGCTGTCATAGAGACTCAAGACAAGATGCTCTAGAGCAGAAAATGAGTACTCGTTGTGTGCCAGGACTTGTGCGGGGATCTGAACTCTAGACCAAAGGACAAACGTGGGCAATGGGACAGCACAGGTGGTTGCACTGATGAGGGGCAATGCTGGAGAAGCCGGTGGGAAGAGGGCATTATACTCTGGAGCCAGTAGGAAAAGGTATGAGACCTGGTGCCTCCAGTTCCAGATGTAGCGTGACCTTGGCCCGGCCTCCCGCTCTGCGCCTCAGTTTCCTCACCATTGAATGGGGACAGCAACCCCTCCATTCCGGGAGTGTTGACAAAAACTGCAAACAGCACTCAGCAGACATTCCCTAAGTGTGCACGCATGTGTGAGAAGACGCTGCTGGGTCTGCACCGGAGCCGCGTACGCAGAGAGAACAAGGGCACTACGGCCTCGAAATCACCCACAAAACCTCTGCCGCCAGCAACTCCCGGAACTGCACGCATGCGCCAACCCATGCCGTCACAGTCACGTGTCGAAGCGTTCGGCACGGGCGGTGAGAGGTTGGCTCTGAATGACAGGTCAATCGACCTGTCAGCGGGAAGCACCCCCACGGCGTCGGACATCGAGGCTGTTGATTGGGGAAAGTCTCAGCTGGGGGCGGGTTCTTTGCAGCCCTGGTTACTATGACGCCCGGCCCCCGCCCCCTCGGCTGGCCGCCATCTTGTTGTTGATCCGTACCCAGTGGGCAGCGCCGGGAGCTGGACCGAGCGGCTGGTGCGGGGCCGCTGCTGCGGGGCTCAGCCACCTGCGCTGCCTGCCAGGGGGCGGGCAGAAACCTGGAGGCCCGGGGGGCCCAGCTCCCGTGGGGAGCCGTGGGCACCCGCTGCCCGGGCCAGTCCGGTGAGTGACAGGAGCCGGGCCGATGGACCCGGCCTGACGGCCGCGGGGCGGGTAGCGGCGGGCGCGGGGTTGGAGCGGGCGCGCGCAGGGCCGGGATATCGGCCGAGCATCACTTGAACATCGCTCGAGCGTCCTGACTGGCCGCCCATGGAGCCTCCCAGATGGTGGCGCCGAAGTAAGGCGAACGGCCTCGAGGGTCCGAGAGCCCCGTGCCTGAGGGCCGGCTCGTGGGGCGGCGGGAAACTAGCTTCTCTGACCGAAGCCCTGGGCTCTGCTGACCCGCAGTGCTGAAATGTGTCCAGTGCCAGCCTGATGCTCTCCGGGGCGTTGTGTTGCTCCTGGGTGAGAAATACACGAACCCTTTAGATGTCGCTCCTGCGAGTCATTTTCAGACTGCTTGAGACTAAAACTAGACGAAACAGCCGAAAGCCCCCGCGTACCAGGCAGGCCGATGTCACGGCCCTGTGATTCTGGAAGGGTGAAGGCCCTCTGCCCGGCGTTTATCTCCAGTACTCCTTGGAGATCACGATTTGTTTCTTCCTGAAGGGCCTGGTTAAATGTCCATGATGCCCAAATTATATTTTGCGGCGTAATTTTTTGGTTCTCGACCACCACTTTTTGTTGGAGTTGTGGTATGATTTTCCTCTTTTTTGGAAAAAGTGAGTATTACGGTGATGACTTGGTTGATTTTTATCTCCTAAAGATATATTTTGCCTGTATAACGAGACAAAGGAAATGTAGAATCAGAAAACTAAATGAAACTTTTTTTTTTTTTTTTTGGTCTTCCTGGATGGTATGGAATTGCCAAATGAACTTTTAACAGACTAAATGTCTCTTGTCCAGTGAGAACAGACTGAAGGGCTCTCTTCCTGTGAGACCCCGGGCTAGCTGTCCAGAGAGTTCTCAGTGCTCCAAAACACATTTTTTTCCTCTGTGATCTCTTGGCTTCTCTGCACAGTCTCCTTGTATTGCTAAAATGAAGTCAGGCAGCAATATTTTGTGTGCTTGGATCTTGTCATCTTTAGAATGAATTTTGAAGGAAACCAGCTCCTCGGTGAGATCCTTTTGGAGAACAGACGTTGAAACCAGAGGAGGCTGGTGGCCTGTTGCTGGTTGCTTTACTTGTGAGAAGAGTCTTTATTTCATTACCTTCCCTCCTGCCATTTTTTGAATCTTGAATGAGTTTCGACCTTGGTGAGAGCATTTCCTTGGGCAGTTCTTGATAAGAAAGGAGGGAGGTAGTAAAATATTAGGAGCTTCTCAAAATTGTCCCAAGCTAACCAGCTCCCCACTTTGATTAAGGCTTCCTTTAGAAATTTAAGGCAGCCACAGGGTTAAATTCTTGCTGGTTTCTGTTTAAATATCCCTAAGTTAGGATCTAGCCTGTTAACTTCTAGCCTGTTAAGGATTTCTTTGAGATGTAGAGACACTCTTTTTATTAAGTTCTCAACACTAACTTTTGCATACAGTTTTTTTGGGGGGGGCATGGGGGGATCAAGGGCCTGTTAAAGTTTATCTTCGGTGTAATCTTCTGTTAGAAGTGCTGCCCCAAGGAAATTGTAGACTATATAAGAACTTTTATTGCCTTTGTTTAATGCTTTTACAACCTCATGAATATTTATGAGAGGTAGATGATGCTTGATTCAACTTGGTATTACCCAAAAGTAGCTAAAAACAGTACTTCTGGGCTGGGCATTTTTAAGTGCAAATGAGTAAGAATGTTGTTACAATAGCGGATCCTTCTTCCTCTTCAACTTCTTTGTCTTTACATAATTCACCTGTAAATGTCAGCACTTTTAACTCTAGGAGCAACAAACAACATTTCACAGACTGGAGATTCTACCCTGAAGTCAGGTTTATGGGGTGAGATCCTATGTCCTTCTGTGGCATTCAAGGTACAGCGCTGCTGCCCGGCTGGCCTTAGCCCCTACCTCTCTAGGGTTTAGCCTAGACCCCACTAA